TGGGGCAATCCTGGCTCCATGAATCCTCAGTGTGACTGGAGACTGAATACTTAAGATTGAAGGTCTAATACCTGAATGAGACCCTGAACTCCTGTCTTATATACCTTTCTAGTGCTGGGATTAAAGATGTGTCATCCCAAGTGCTGGAATCAAAGATCTGTTTCTCTTTTAGACAGATTCACTATCATGTAGTACTGGGTAGCCTTAAACTCACAGAGATAGATCCATCTGCGTCTGTCTCCTGAGTGCTAGGATTAAAGGCATGTACCTCTACTGCTTCACCTCTGGTCTCCAAGCAAGCTTTATTATGACATAAAAAATATATCACCACAAAAACACTCTCGTGTAGTTCTACACAAAACAGTAATCAATTTACTCTAGGGGGAAAGAAAAGATAAAAACTGGTCATGGTATCATCATCTCAGGGTCTTCACAAAGTTGTATTTTAGGTTGTGGGACTGGCTTTGAACATCACGTGCTGTCTTCATCTGCTAATGTTGGTTGACCTCTGTATTCAGGTAATATTCTCTGTGCTATACAAGATATTTTTATAGCTTCTCATAGCACTTGGGATGTAACTTAGTGGTAGAGCACTTGCTAAGCATGAAACTCTGTGTTCTCTCAAACACTGCAGGACATCATTATGTATTTATGGCAATATTTAGTATCAGATTACAGTCATTACAGTCATATGTTTTGAAAGCTTTCAAACCAAAAGTACATATAACCACAAAAGCAAATTATGAATTTCATATTGCTACTTCCAGCAAGAAATGGATAGTAGGGAAGGGTGGTGGTTATAACTACAGATTATTTTAGCATTAATATGTTTGTAACCTATACAAAGTTTTATAAGAAAAAATAAGCAATGGTATCCTGTCCCCAAACACTTTTTATCATAGAAATATGCATTTTTGCATGCAAATGTTAATGAATAAGTGTAAGGATTCAGCTGTCTTTTATAAACTGATTTTATTGTATTTATGTATGTCCCTTGCATCCCTTAATCTCTCCAGGGCTTTTAGTATGAAGGGGTGCTGGATTTATCAAAGGCCTTTTCTGCATCTAATGAGATGATCATGTTGTTTTTCTTTCAGTTGTTTATATGGTGGATTATACTCACTGATTTTTGTATCTCAGGGAAGAAGCCCCCTTGACCATGGTGGATGATTGTTTTCATGCATTCTTGGACTCAGTTTGCAAGTTTTTTTTTACATCTGTGTTCATAGGGGAAATTCTCTTCCCTTGTTGAGTCTTCATGTGGTATAAGAATCAGGGTAACTGTGGCCTCATAAAATGAGTTGGACAATGTTCCTTCAGTTTCTAGTTTGTGGAGTAATTTGAAGAGTGCTGGCATTAACTCTTCTTTGAAAGTCTGGTATAATTCTGAGCTAAAAAGCATCTGGCCCTGGACTTTTTTTTCAGTGACTAATTCTATTTCACTATGGATTACAAGGCTATTCAAACAGCTTATCCACAACCAATAGAAGATTAGTATATAAAATATAAAAACATTTAGAAAGTAGATTTCCTCCTGTCAGAATGTCTGAAATCAAAAACACCAATGACAGCTTATGCTGGAGAGGATGTGGAGAAAGGGGAACACTTGTCCTTTGCTGGTAGAGATTCTTCAGGAAAATGGGAATCAGTCTACAACATGACCCATCAATTACACTCTTAGGCATATACCAAAAAGATGCCCATTTATACAACAAGGATGTCTGTTCCACTATGATCATAGCAGCATTATTTGTAATAGCTAGATCCTGGAAGCAACATAGATGCCCCACAACTGAGGAGTGGAGACAGAAAATGTGGTACATTTGCACAATGGAGTACTACTCAGCAGAAACAAACAATAGAATCTTGAAATTTGCAGGCAAATGGACGGCACTAGAAGAAGCCATCCTGAGTGAGGAAACCCAGTCACAAAAAGACAAACATGGTATATACTCACTCATATATGGATTTTAGACATGGATAAGGGGAGAGTCAGCCTACAATCCCAGGGCTAGTGAGTCTGGGAAACAGGGAGTTTCCCAAGAGATATGCATTATACCCCAGAAAGGTGGAAAGAGGCAAGATCTCCTGAGCAGATTGGGAAGATGGGAGTAGAAGAGAGGGAACCAGGAAAAAGACAAGGGGATAAGAGGAGGGTAGAAGAAGATATGGGGGAGCAGGAAGGTTTAGTCGGGAAAGAATAGAGGAGACCAGCATGAGAGATACCATAATAGTTGAAGTCCTTATAGCTTTGAGGAGAGAGCTGACACCAGTGAGATTTCCAGAGATCTACAAGGATAACACCAAATGGAAAACTAAGTAATAGCCGGGAGACTACATTAATAGCCCCTACCTAATGATAAGGTTGATGACTTCCTTATATGACTTCCTAGAACCTTAATCCAGTGACTGATGGAAGCAGAGACAGATACTTACAGCTAAACACTGAACTGACCCCCAGGAACCCAGTGACAGAGATGGAGGAGTGATGAGCAAAGGGGTCAAGACCGTGCTGGTGAAACCCACAAAGACAGCTGACTGGACAAGGGGGAGCTCTTAAGCCCCAGACTGATGGCTAAGAGGCCAACAGGGGACTGATCCAAACTCCATGAATGTAGTGTCAGGGAGGCGGCCTCAGAAATCTCTGGGGCCTTGGGTAGTAGATTAGTGTTCACCATGGCGTACAAATGAACTTTAGGAGCCCCATGTGTCTCTCAGCCTGGACACATGGGGAAGGGCCTAGGTCCTGCCCTGGATGAAATGACAGACTCTGGACATCCCCCCAAGGAGGGCCCCAACCTTCCCTGGGGAACGATGTAGGGATTGGGCTAGGGGTGGGGGCTTGGAGCTGGGAGGGAGAAGGGGGGAAGCTGGGATTGACATTTGAAGCATGCATGTTTCTAATTTAAATTTTAAAAAAAGAAAGTAGATTTCAAAAAGCCAAATAATCCAATTTTAAAAATTGGTACATATCTAAACAGATAATTCTAATAGAGGAAACCAAGATGTCTGAGAAACACTTACAGAAATGTTCAACCTCCTTAGCCATCAGAGAAATGCAAATCAAAACAACTTTGAGATTCTATCTTACACCTATCCAAATGGCTAAGATCAATAACACAAGCAACAGCTCCTGCTGACAAGAATGTAGAATAAGGGAAATACTCCTCCATTATTGTTGGAAGTGCAAACTTGTACCAGCCATTATGGAAATCTGTGTGCTACTTCTTCAGAAAAACAGAAATAGAACTACCACAAGATTCAACTATGTCATGCAGGGGCATATATCCAAAGGATGTTTCATTCTGTGATATGGATACTTGCTCAACAATGTTCGTGACTTCTCTATTCACAATAGCCAGAAATTTGAAACAATCAAAATGCCCTTCAACAGAAAATGTATAAAGAAAATGTGGTGCATTTACACAATGGAATACTCAGAGGGAAAAATAAAAACAATGACATCATGAAATTTGCAGGCAAACAGATGGAGTGAGAAAAAAATCACCCTGAGTTAGGTTATACAAACCAGTAAAGATAAATATAGTATGCATTACCTTATGTGTAGTTACCAGCCTTTAAGTAAATTATAACCAAGTCAAAATATGTAAGCCCAGAAAAGTTAGTTATAGAGGAAGGCACTAGGTAGGATCTCCCTGAGTGGGAAAATAAAATAGAATTTATGGATGGACTGGTGGAGGACTATGGATTGGGAGGGTGAGCTGGGGAAGGGTAGGGAATTGGGGAGAAACAGCTCGAATTAAGGAGGACTTGGAGGGTGGCCTGTATACCTAGTGCAGTAAAAACTTCCTAAAATATATGAAGGAAATCCTAATGAAGTCTCAACATAATGGGTAAGCAGAGTCCCAGCTGGCCAGCTCTTGTCACAAAATGAGGCCTCCAGTACCAGGAGTGGGTTACATTCAGATGAATTGTTGGCCAAATGGGTCCCATGGAAATCCCCCAAACAACTCAGGCTGTTGCCAAGACAATGCTTTACTCTCAACAAACTGAATACAAGCCTCAACTTCTGAAGATAAAAAGCACACAACTTATTGAATATGGAGGGGTCAAGGTGGTACTTGCATAGAACCTTTATCCATATGTTCTATTGTCCTTGATAAGGAAAGGTACTCTGCAGGCTACCAAAAAGAAAAAACATATACACCAACCCAAACACACACCATTTTATCTTAAGTGTCTGATTTGACTTGGGGCCCAATCCATGAGATGGAACCCATATCCAATACTGCTTGGATGACCAAGAACCAAAATCTGAATAGCTCAGAAAGCTAGGGTAAAGCCAACTAATACTCATCTAAAAACATAAATAAGGTAACTACTAATTGCATTCTGCTACACTCATAGATAAGTTGCTTGCTCAGCTATCATTAGAGAAGCCTTCTCCTGCAGCAAACAGGAACAAATACAGAGACTTTGCAATGAGACATTATACACACACACACACACACACACACACACACACAGTGAGAGAGAGACAGAGAGACAGAGAGAGAGAGAGAGGGGGGGGACAGAGACAGAGACAGAGAGACAGACAGACAGACAGACAGACAGACAGACAGAAAGACCAATCTTGAAACGCACAGCAATAAATAGGATGTCGCCATGAAATCCTTCCCCTCAGAGCTTAGGGAAACCCATGGAAGAGGAGGTGAAAAGAATGTAAGAGCCATAGGGGATGGATGACACCAGGAGAACAAGGTGCTCTAAATCAACTGAGCAAATCTCACACAAACTCACAGAGTCTAAAGCAGCAAGCACAGGGCCTACATGAGTCTGCACTAGGTCCTCTGTATTTATCATGGCTTTCCAGTTAGTTTTCATTGGATTTCCAAATGCCTGAATGAGTGGATCACTGATTCTTGTCCTTAATTAGTGGCTCTTTTCCTTCTGTTGGTTTGTTTTGTCCAACTTCAGTGTGACAGTTTTGTTTTAATTTACCATATCATATTTTGTTAAATAAAAAGAATTCAACTGCATTTTCACTTAATAGTATTTTATTTAAAAGTTCACCATCAAAGCACTATAATAACCAAAACACTTAAAGGTAACAAAAGCTACCTTGAAAGAAAAAAATCTTGTATGTAAAGGAATGGGGGGTCTTATGTTTAGTATGTGTGGATTACAGAATTCAGCGGAGGCGATCACCAGAATCCATGATATAAAAGGGCCATATGTTTAATATGTGTGGAGTACATATACAGAAGAGACTCAGACAGTCACCAGAATCCATCATACAAAAGGAACAGTGACTCCCAACATGTTTCAAAATTTGACCAGAAGGTGAATGTCATGACTCTGAACATTTCCCTTTGCTAGTACTAAAATTCAGCAAGCATATCACCATCTCTGTGTTCTCTGCCAACTGCTGACATCCTCCAAAAACTTCAAGCAAGTATCCAACAAAGAAATCCAGTCTCACACTGTGTATTATGGGAAGAAGAAACGATATTCCTAGATTGGCTAAATACATGAGAATCATTGTCAAAAAAGAAACACTACACAAACATGATGCCACTCATAAATTAAACCCATATTTCATTTTAACAAATTTTCATGGTAATCTGCCCTGTTAGTGGATTCTGGGTGTGACAGACATGACTTCAAAAACAAGAGTATGTTTAGAGTATGGAGTTCAGGAGATAGGATAACTTTTTCTACTTTGATCACTATTAATCAGCACCATGAAATGTTAAGAGCAAGTCCACAAAAAGAAAGCTGTGAATGGTTGAATTCCTTGTGAAGAACAAGTGAATCGGGTAGGACTTGGTAGTTTTGAAACAGTGACTGACAACAATTTAATGGTTAAAGATACAAACTTTGTGAACAGAGGAACCCAAAATAGAGTTTGGCAACAACATCCATTTCTGGAGATAGGCTGGGAATGGTCCTTTTGGAGCTGTGTGGCTCATGCTGACTCAAGGATGAATTCACTGGACATTTTCTGCTCTATGCTGCTTTGCCAGCACTGTACTGCCTGTAGTGGAACAGACTCTTGGAGTCCACAGTGCGAGATTTCTGCACAGCTTCAGCAAAAAGTTTGGTCACCTAAAAGAAAATATTAGGAATGTTAGCAACCTACAATAGATGAAAGTGAATGCAGGATGAATCATGAGTGAAAAGTTAGAAGGATCTGCTCCCAATTTTCGACGAGGTATGGAATGAAAAGATGTAATGTTTATCTCAGAGACTTCCCCATGTTTCACACTCACCATGAATAAACTAACCTCACCCCCCTGATAAGGATTGGACTAACTTAGATGGGGAAATAGGACACAAGGCTCATTTGTGAATGTCAGGTTCCTTCTAGGATGACCCTGGTGGTTCATATCCAAATGAAACTGAATGTGCTTCATACAGTCTGTGTGTGTGTGTGTGTGTGTGTGTGTGTGTGTGTGTGTGTGTGACAGCACTCCCAGTCTTCATTCTATTCTATACTATATCTTTGTACTCACAGAATGATTGAATAGGACCAGTCCTATTCCTGGCTTTTAATCATATTGTTTAATCTCCATCTCTTCAAGTGAGATGACAATCTACCATATTAACACCATTGTTTTAGATTCTATTAAAATTTTCTGTCTATTCTGAACACTCCATGAAAGAGACAGAGACAGAGAGAAAAGGAGTGATTAACACACATGAAGGGAGACCCAGAACTAGAACCCACACATGGCTTATATATAAAGGGAAAAACATACCTGGAAATTAGTGAGGAGAGCAATCCCACTGTCCACAGCTGTCCTCCGAATCACATAATTATCATGAACGAATTTGGTGTTGTTGTTGGGGAGGTTAATCACAAGGTCAATGCTTCCATCTCTAATCAATCTAAAAAGATAAATAAAAACTTAAAGTTGACAAATTCCATTTCATAAATAGTTCAAAAGTAGGAACACAAAGTCTTCTGCCATTTAAATGCTATTTACTGAGCTACCTGCCGCCTGCTCTTTTCTAAGTCTAAGCCAATGTTCAAGATGCACTCACTGGGGAATTATAATATTTTATTGTGGTTTTGAAAGAACTCTGACAAAAGTTTAACAGGATGCAAAACATTGTTTTCCCTTGAAAATACTACCCAACATAGCAAGAACTGACAATCTGATAGACACCCACTTTGTTTTACAAAGAGGTGATTCCTCAGCACTAACATTTCCACCTCCAGGCTCCTCCCCACATACTGCATCTATTTCTGCCTGCTTCCCATAGCCTGGCAAGAGAAGCATCAGACTACCTGGTTGTGAGTAAACCTGTATCACATCCTGTTATTGGACTGACTGAACATACCCAAACAGACCCTCAAATGCCAAAAGCATGAGGTTGGGCTGGTTTTCATTTTACAAACTCTTAAGCAAGGGACTCATAGCATCAGTGGAAGGCTGGTAAGATCCATACATGATGACATTCTTTCATTCATTTCAAAATGATTTCTTAACAACCTTTAATAAATAGCATACTGCATAGGATAGGGAAGTTGTAGCTATTGGGTAAATTGTAATATTCAAGAGTAGCAAAGTAGGATCCACTGTGCTTTCTTCCCATGTAGCTTTGTAACAACAGATGCCCTGCAGTTCCTGAAGCCTCACACAGTGTGTCTTACAAAATCAGAAGGCAATGGCCTATGAAACAAGCATTTAGTTAAAACATTGTCAAAATGCTTACTCCAGTTTTCTCCATGCAGCAAGTGCTCAATAAGTTGACTGATCTATTGATCCATCCTCAGTGAAATGTGCATATGTGCATATTAATGCATATGTGCATATTCATACTTTTGTATAAATATATAAAGCACTGTATTAAATTCTTCATAGTTTTCACTTGTATCTGTCAAGCACTTTTAACAGAAGTATCTGAGAGGTGTTTTCTAACACATGAACAGGTAGGTGTACACATGTAGTAATTCACTTTTTATGAGAATGAAACTATCACCCATAAGTGTGTTCATTTGTAAATTTGTTAACAAAACCATCTTGTGAAAAGATAATGAGGTGAGAGCTTCACACTGTACTAGCTCCCACAATTTATCTCCTATTTTCCTTTTTTTCCCCGATTCATAAAACAGACTATTCAGTTCTTACTTTCTGATGGAAGAGAGGCTGGGATTCTGTCCTTCCTGGGATGGCCATGCCACAGGGGTGGCAGGAACATTGTTGGCATTGAGCCAGTCTGATGTGGCTTCTGTGGCAAAAAGCTGCATTTAAAATAGAAAACTCGGTTACTAAAAAGGAGGAGGTGTTGTTAATGAAGGAACATATGAATCACAATGGAAACAGGGAAAAATAATGGAAGAAGAGTGGTGCTGAGGGTAGTCACTTGAACTCAGAATCTGGGCAGAGATACCTTAAATATTTTCACATTTTTTTCAGTAAGGAGACATTTAAGAGCTATGTTGCAATTGCTTTTGTAAAAGAATTAGTCATATCTTATAAATTATTTTCATGAGTTCCACAAAGTCCGTGGCTACACATCCGATCTGAGCTGTAGGAGTAACTTTGTTTTACTGAGCCAGGCTGTGTGCAGAGCAATTTGCTACAAAGAGACTGCCTGGAACTGTAACAGCTGGGAACTATGACTTCATACAGAATCAAGAGGAGGAAAAGATTAAGAAATACACTGGTGAGAGTCCTTATTATGTTTCAACTAAAGTTTGCAAGATTTTAAGCTAACTACCATTCAGTGTACGGTCATTCTGTAAAACCTAGTATTCCTAATTATTTTATCCTATGTAAAGTTTATTTTTCTAATTTTTACTGTTTGACAGTTTCAAGTGTTTATATAATCAGTTTTAATTGTTTTCACCCCCATTCCTCTTTCTGACTCTCCTTTCTTCCTCTACAAATCTTCTCAACAAATTCTCTCCCACTTTGGGTCTTCTTCTGTTCGTGACCCACTGAATTTAAACTTTCTTTGCTTTTGTAAAAGAATTAGGGTAAGTGAAAGGCTATTTACTGTAGACAACACAACTTACAGTGGCTACAACACTGAGGAAAAGGACACTCTCCTCCTCCAACAATCACAAAATACCAGTCATTCTATGTGGAAGTTGTGAAATGATCTAGCTAAATCTTCCAAATTGAAAAGTCAGGCTTCCTATTTGTACAGTATTTAATTCATGGACAAATTTCAATGTGGAAGAAAGTGACTTTAACAAAAAAGAACTAAGAGAGTATACCTTGAAACCTTCATTGTGTAACTGCTCAGCCACACCAAGGAATCTTGGACGGAATGATTGCTGGAAAAGAATTAACAGAACTCACTTTCTAGATACATATTGTCTTTGTTTGGATACATTCAATAAGGTCTCCCTCCCACCATTGCAAAAGAAAGTCCTATTTGTTGCCTTTTACTTAATATAAATTACGTATTCTCCAATGTAGATGAAATTCCTTTTATGTTATCTTGTTCTTTGTCTTCCATCTATCTCTGAACCTTTTCATTCACATTGAGTCCTTACCATCTTTGCTTAGACCCACATGGTTTCTCTGCCCATGGTTTCTTTGCCTGATTATGGAGACACTAAGGCTGAGATCTGAACACCAAGTCAACCTTGTTGGCATCTAGCTGCTTTGTTATTCCAAGCAACCTGCTGTCATTGGTGAGTTCTAATTTCACACTGTCTTTAATAACTCACTCACTATCCTAGAAACCCCCACTTCTAAGAAACCCTAGAGTACTGAGTTCCACTTCAAATCCTGACTTCATCATTCCCTAGAAGTGCATGCTCAGAAAACTTAATACCCTTTGCCACACTTCTTCACTTCTAAAAGAGAGATGATAATGTTCCTATCTCTTGAGGCTTCACAGCTCACTAGCTTGTGTCTCCCTGGGTTATGTAGCTTTTCTATGAGGTAATCTCCTGATCCCTTCAGTGTCATGGTAATGATACTTGTGGTGTTCGGTGTCCAGTAGAGTAATTTATTAGCAGTCACTACAGAGTTTTCATACACCAGATTAGCAGTTTCTGAGCTAATAATAGTTCTCAAGAAATATTGATTAGTATCATTAGCATTAAGATAGTTAGGAGTAGATGGAGAGAGGATGGGGAGGGAGGTGGGGGAGAGTAGGAGGAGGGGAGGGAGAGGGCACTGTGATTGGTATGCAATATGACTTAAAAAATTAAAATTAAAAATTTTTAAAGAGAAAGATAGTTGATGTTTTTTACAGCTTCCCAGACAGAGTCTAGATTCCTGTCCTGTAACCTAGTATTGAATCCTGGGTTATTTTACCGTTTACTATAACCCAAACCATCTTTTCCACTATACACACCCATATCCACATGGGCTTTCCTAATGTCCCAGCTCATTTTTCAGACAGCTTCTATCAATCTGTTGTTTCATCCTTCCTAGGACCCTACTTGGACCTGATTTCCCTGGATCCCTGCCCTTTGTCATCAGGGGTTCACCACTTCTAAAAATTCCCTGTGTTTAAGAGTTTGTATTTGCAAGGCAACCTTAAGGATGAAATACAACAAAGATGAGTGATCTACCCAAAGATTGAATTCTGACCTTGACCTTATTATCATGAATGCCTTCGTACCTAAGTTTTTTAAAGTCATGTATGCTTAAAAGTGTATTTGTTCTTCTTTAAATGAAATCATTTTGCTGACTTTTTAAAAAAGGTTTTTGTTTAACTGATGATATAATGTGGTTGTTTCTATAAATGCCTTGTGATTGATTTACAAATAGCATTAGTGATGTTTGAAAAAAATCATGGATATGCTCCTGTTTCTAGTTTACAACCTAATAAATGTGATCAAAAACATATCCAGATTCTTGTACAATTTTTATAATGCTTGGCCCATTAAGTCTCCTATTATTTACCTACAAAGGTTGTCTGAGAACAGATCTAATTCCTAGGCAATTATGTTCAAATATAAAATCTTTTCAGATTCTGACCCTCTCAATCCCAGAACTGTTTTTGAGAGGAAAACACTGGCAAATAGAAAAGATAAATGCAATGCAATGAATCTGAGCTAAGACGGGCACAGGAGTTATTCAAGCCAGTCTTCTATAACAGGAGTTGTAACCACACCCGGGGTAATAGCTTTCTATTTGTACTCGGGACTAAACAGGAATAAATGAGTTTTGATACCATCAGTTCATGACTCTACATAAAATTAAATTAAAATAAAAATAATAGAGAAAACAGAATAATTCTTACTGACTGACACTAGAACAATTTAAAGTAGTAAGCAGTGATGTCTTAACATATACACTAGGCAAACAGGACACTAGCATGCTCAAGTGTGATCTTGCCTAGGAAGCAAGGGGTAAATAAGATGGTCCATTATATATGCCTCATAGGTTAAGGTTCCTTATAAGAAACATATATGAAATATGCAAAATGAGTTTCTGCATTTTATTAAATCCCCCTCATATAGATTGTTGCATTTGGGCTTTCTGATAAACATGTAACCGACCTACGTTTGTACTAAATGACAATAGAGGTCTCAGTTAATGCCTAGATAATTGGTACATTAGTCACATAACTAATGACTCTCAATCTCTTAAATATCCCCTTAGCAAAATGTCACTGAGGCAATTGAGATTATAATAATGTATTAATCAGTTTCTCTTTGGGGTTTCTAAAATGAACTACCACAAGTAAGGTGTTCCCAGGCATCTCAGAGCAATAGCATCAGCGTCATCCGAACTTACTAAAGGCAGGAAACTTTAGGCTCCACCCAGATGGATTGCATTAGGTGGGTATCCCAGTCATACACAGTCTCAAACCCTCCAGATCCTTCTGATGTACACGTCGGTTTAGAAATGGAAATGAATGAGGCTGGAAGGGCTATCCTTTTCTCATTTTGCAATTTGAGGTCAAAATGTATTAACCTTGACCAAAGTCACAATGAAAAATGCTGAGGGAGGAATACCATAATGCAATTTTTTCTTTGCCATTTTAAAATAAAATAAATCAGCAAGTCCTCTAGGACCTACAGATACCAGGCGGAACCTTATTATGGAGCTGTTTCACTGCTGTCCCCCAACTGGAAAAGATAAATATCCAACATGACAGTATTGGCAGTTCCCAGCTAGGGAACCACTCTGCCTTCTGGTGTGGGGTGTTGGCTTCCATAGACACATTATAAACTTCTATCAAGCATATATTGAACACTTGTGACACATAAAACAGCCTCTCTACAAAAAGAAATTACCGCTGTCAGCTTGCATCTGAGTAACCTCAGATTTAAACGCCGATTGAAAATATCTATGTAAGAATCCATTCCTTAGTAGAGGTGAAAAGTACAAGTTAGCTTGTGCTCTTGGAAATTGTTCTAAGGAAAGAGTTCCTGCAAAAGTGGAATAAATATCTATTTCCTTCGGTGATTACTTTCACAGTAAGCCAACTTCCGGCTGCAGAAGAGAAAGCCAAGTTAACACTAAGTGATGTCTGTGGATGCTACAGGCTTGCCTGGATTGACAACTGTGTGGTTGTTCTTAACGATGCCTCTTGGAAGATAAAAGGTTATTCATGTCACTTGGAGTCGTCTTTTCAAATAAACGCTTGCTTTGTGTTTCTGAGCAATGCTGAAGCCCAGATGTCAGCCTGGTGCCTGCCACTTCACCAGCATCACTGAATAGCCCAATCAGAGGGGGAAACACAGAGAGTGCACTCCATCTCCTCTAGAATAAATCACTCATTGTTAAAGGGTATTCTAGAAAACCTCAAAACAAGGCAGATTGCCTTCTCAGAGCGACTAAAAATACATCGTGACAGGATGAAAGGTGGCTGCAATGACTGCAGGGAAATCAAGGGTGATTCTGTTGCCTCATAAACCCATATTATGCTTCTTACATTACAAATGCCCTAGACTGTGGAAGGCTTCTTGGTAAAGACGCAGTGCACACGGCAATTAAGCTGACAAAGATCCTTTGTTAAAATCTGCATCCTGACTCTTCTGTCTCCTAAGTCCTAGGTACACAAGATTGAGGGTACAAATATTTCAGACTTCGTGAGTGATTTGACTCTGGGCTCTGACATAAGAAGGACAGAAAGCGATTGTATGACTAAAGGATTACAATGGGGAAGAGAAATACTGATTTAGAAAAATTACCACACACAGCAAGTGTGAGCATGTGTGTGGACACACACACACTACTTTCCACATATTAAAAAAATCTGCTAGTAATAAATGCTTATTTTAAAATATTTTCAGCCTGTGAACACTAAGTGAAGAAGGTTTCCAGTCCAGAGTCACCTCACCCTCTACTCAGTGTCTCTCTGTTCTCTGAGTTCTCTCTTGGAACCTGTTGTGTGACATGAGTGAGTCTAAGAGTCTTCATTAAATATTTTTACCTGGGGCGTGTCCTTAACTCAGGGGCTATGGAGAAGGGGAAGGAGGACTGTCACTGCAGAGGTGGTAGATGCTGAACGTCCTCTCCATTGTTCCATGAAGGTATAATAAGGGAAATTCACAGCAATGATATGCCTCTCGGTGTTCTGTGAAGCCTATCAGACTACGTGGATGATCACCCTAAGAAGACTAGATGCAAATGTGAACTCCTCTCTCACAATTTGATTAAATAACTCCGCCAACCAATTCAGACAAACTTTCTAGCCCTGGCCTCCATTTCTTTATTAGTCTTCTACTAAGTCCCTTTTGACTCTGATTATATGTTTGGAGGAGGTAGGATGACCCCTTCTAACTCAGTAATAGCATGTACTTTTTCCAGGTGTATCCTTCAATACAGAACACAGATGACAGCATCCTGCTGCCGTGAATGCTGGGTAAAAAGATGGCTGCATCCATGCTCTTACGGATGGCGGGTAAAAAGATGATTTTAGAATAGATCCTTTTCTAGCTGAGCTAGAACCTCCAAGACTTAAAGCTATTGACTACCTAGTCTACCCCATCATACTTTGAGTATAAGTCATCGGCCTAAGCACATTTTAGAATAAGTATGAATGGAATAGAGAGACTATATAAACATTCAATGTTAGGCATGGAAAGTGTTCTTTGCCTCACATAAAATAAATCAGAAACTTATATTCTTTCTATTTCTAGAGGCTTACAATTCTACTGATCAATTTTCTGAATTGTAGATGTGTCAATAACTGTAACTTTATTAAATAATTTTAAACTACATTTAACATTGTACTGAAAATATTTTTAATTACCTAATGATTGCCCCACATATACAAACAATATTTTTGCAACAACTCACGTAACTGCTGATAGATTGTTTTTAAAAATAGTGCATTCAAAGGTAGACTTTTAATTAATAAAACCTCGCTGCTTTGAAAAATATTGTTCCCCGATCCATAAAGTCTCCTTTTTTCCTACAAAGCAAAATCCTGTTCAGTGGTGCCAAAATCCCACAAATATTTCATAGGAACAAATTAATTTTGCGGCACATTTCCCTGCAGCACTGGAACCAAACAAGCCACAATTTTATACATCACTGCCTTCTTAAACTGCTATTTGAAAATGTTAGCAGTGTTTTGATTAGTTGTGAAGATGAGGGCTAAGGGCATGGTCTCCTGTGAATGTCCCCAGGTCTCACATTAAACTTTAAGCCATAACTGGAAGTTGGGCCAATATTCTCCTAGTTGGGCCTTAATAATACTCAGTACCCATTTGCAATGTGATGAGTCATTCATATGGTGTGATCTGTCTCTAAACTGCCATTAAGCCTCACGTAGCAAGCCGTCTTGTTAGCCTTTGCTCTAAATCTTCACCATTGTCCTTCTGCCACCTTCATAAAGCAAAACCCAAAGTTACTCTTTCCAGAAACTTCTCCAAAGTGACTACCTGTCCAGTCTCTGGAGTCTAATTTGGTAATATTAAGACACCCAAATTAGGCAGCATTTATAATAATCACCCACTGACTTGAGAATATCTGATTCTCTTCTAATTATGCTTTTATTGATTTTTGCGAAGACATGCAGGGTTTGAGCTTATTAAAGTCACAGCAGGGGGACCTATATATGACCACTCATTGTTTTTAAAGGACATAAGAATTACTAATCTCAAGTCAAAATGAATGCCCATTTGAGAAGTATATGCAATTTTTTTAGGAAATGAGAAACACAAGATGTATAGTCTGATGCAATAATTATTTCAAGGAGTTGCAGACAATGTATTTCCAAATTTTTACCCTAAGATTAATTTACACTTGACTTTCAACAATAAACAATAGCGTTCTTTTTCTTGGGATAAAAATATTGATTTGGAGTCAGCTCCTCTTACTTTGGCCTATATACATAAAAAGAATGTACAAGGCCTGTGCAAACTCAAGTCAGACAAAACTCCAACACGAAGAAAGAAAACAGGCATGAAGTCCCAGCCCTACATAAAGAATTATTGGTAACTGTTAGCTGGGAGAGAGAGCGCTAATTTGCTTGAAGAATGTAGTCCCTGTTGAATTGACACCCTCAAGTCAAAGCCACGCTTCCAAGAGTATATGGACAGCACAAACTTAGTGGGTTTAAAGATACAGGGCACAAAGTTGGGTGGTCAGAAAGGGAGGGATGGATCTGCAAGGAGAGGGGGTAAATGATATGTTTGACCAACATACATTGCAAAAAATTCTAAATAAATGAATAAAATGAGAAAAATATATAGAAAAGGTCTAATCAAGGAATAGAGGGCATTACTTTTCTAAAATAATGCCTTTTAAAACAAAGAATCTTTCCATAGAGACTTTTCCTTCTGTTTCTTATTTCACTTTTTTATTTGCTGCTGCAGCAGCGGAAGACTAAAAGAGCAAATGGAACACACAGTGGCCATTCCCATAAGTTACCATCTTCCAAGGCATGCAGCCAAGGCCCCTCTCTAACACCCTGAACAATAGCAGTGTGCTACCTGAGAATATGCACAGCCACACCCACATGCCACTCACCTGGATTCCAATCAGAATACCTTTCTGAGGGATCTTAAACCCTGTAGACAGCATTGCCTTCAGGAAGGCTGTATGAATCCCCTCCCCGAAGCATGCCACCTGTTTAGGAAAAATTTAAAATAAACAAGGGAAGAATAGTCAAATACACTTCCACACAAAAAAAGGAGAAGGGAAAAAGGGGAGAAAAACAGAGAGGGGAAAAAAACTCTTTCCCTAGATTTAGATGTATCAGTATATTCCAAAGACCAAGTAATCTGTATATGAGGAGTAAGTGACTGGTCAGGACATATGTGTCTTATGTTTTTAATTAATCATAATGAATGAATAAGCAATTTCTTCTCTATTCAACAACACTCATTGGAACAACATACCGGACTGTACTTCAAGTTATTTGGATACAAATCAGTTTCTGATGTGCAACATGATGAATTTCCAAATATTAATGAGTTAATGTTTAAATCAATGAATACATTATGGGTACCGTGCAGTAGTGCATGAATTCAGAGTGGGAAGTGCTAAAAAAAAATGACAAACTGCTTACCCACTGGTTTGGCTGCCTAAGAGGTGGCAGTAAGTATGTGAAAATCTCAAATGGTTTATTCTTTTTTATGATTTTTAGAAGCTGAACCAAAATATTCTGCAACTCATTCAAGATACCCAAGCCATGTGTAAAAAAAAAAAAGGAGGGGGGGAGAAAAGAAGCCAAGCTAACACAAATTGGTAGGGTCTATGAAGATTTTCTCTAGGGTAACTGCTGTACACTGCAATTACAAGTCAAACGGTCGCCATAACTAGAGGACAAGTGGTGTATTTTAACACGCTGGGAGTCAGTTCTGCACATCATCATCTGGCACACGTTCAGAGTCACCATTACAGTAAATAACGCTGACGGCGGAATTCATTCTTTAAGCAAATGACTCTCTCTTGCTAGGCAAGGAAAGTTCTCATGAGTATAACCTTCAGCTGACCACAAGTGCACGCCTGCTTTTCACTCCACACTTGAACATTTTAATCAGTCAAATACTGGCCAATCAACTTGAGCAATGTCAACTGAAGTTAATGAGTCTAACTTCTACTGAAAGGAATCCTCCAGTCCCATCAGAAGTGCAGGTACCCAAAAGAGGTCCCAACAATATTCTGCCTAGCCATTAAAAACAAAACAAAACAAAAAAAACACTCGAATAGTCCTGTAAATATCAGGATGACATCCACACTTGACTGCTATAAAATAAAATGTTCCTTAATTAGATAAGAAGCAGGGTGCTTATGCAGTCCAACAAGCCACATAAATGCTGTAGAAGTCTCTTTGAAGCATAGTTGAGATTTCTAAACTGGATTTATTATTCTGATTTCAGTCATGAAACAGAACTGAAAATACATTGAAACACTTGGAAATATGGTTTTAATATTAGAATGCTTTCTTTTTATAGTCTGCAAAAGGAGACAACAAATACAAGCCACTTCTAAGTTGTTCATATTATCATCGCTGTATGAAACATTGAGAACCAGACCCTGAAAATAATGTGCCACACTCAAGAAACACTGTAAGAGCCAGTCCCTGATCTGGCTCTGGACCGGCTGAAAACAGAATCCTGAGATGGGGATAAGCCTGAAAACAGCATCCTTTAACTAGGAATATTATAGCACCCATCGTTCGCAGTGAGGTTTGTTTTCCGACTAAATCAAAAGAAATAGCAAAAGGATCAAGAACCACTTTCTAAGAGTGCAATTCTAACACCACAGTCAGTTGTTCCTCACTGCCTGTCTCCTGGTCTCTCTTGGCTTCTCATCAAAGATCATGCTTGTAACCAAGCAACCATATAAATCTTCATGTACTTGCTGCAATTAAATATTCTCCTCTTCAGATGTTTCCTTAATACCAAGAGAAACAATGATGCCCCACAGTCTGATGTTGCCACTCCAGTGTGCACTGATGAGAATCTGAAGGTTGTAGGGGAGTACATCTGTCAAGGGCTAGGTGATTCATAAAATGTCCTGACACTGACATGTAGAGAACTTTCTACAATCTGACAGCTCTCTATGAGAAAACACATTTCACATTCTTAAAGAAACCTTCACTTGACACAATTCCAACACAAGAGAAGAGGGACATCCAGTGGCCAGACCCATTATAGGTCAGCCTCAAGAGGTAGAAGCTGCCTCAAAAGTGGGCTGGGCGTTTCTTGTGCATTTGCAGTCACATCCATGACTTTTTTAATGCTGTAATTCTACATATTTCTAGTAAAGATGTGGAGATCTGCCTCAATCACAGAAAAGCAGGGGGTCAACTGTTTTTATGAAGCATGGGAGAGCCTTAAAAAGATTGGCTCAGGAGACATACTCAGATATCTTGAAAATATATGATTGTTGTTCACAGTAGGTAATGTGGAAATGAATTAAATACACGTATATTCAGTTCCCAAGTTCACAAGTAAAAATGCTAACTCTGTTACAAAAAGAGGCAGAAGATTTCTTTTTTTAATTCAAACTTCTGAAATCTTTGAATCCCCTGGGGCAGGAAAAGCTTGTGAAGTTTGAGTTTCTCTAACCACTTCATATTCAGATCATAGAACCATAGATTCCCAAGAAAATTTACCACCATTATTCATGTATCATTAACTATTTACCTCTCCAGTGGAAGCCATCTCACATCTCAGAATAGGATCAGCATCCCTCAATCGGGGCCAGGAAAACATTGGAGCCTGTCAGATGTAATAGGGAAGTAAAACACATAAGATAAAGGATAAAAAGAGAAGGGAGGTAAACACACTTGGCGAATCACCTCCCACAGGATTCATTAGGCCACGGTGAACAGAAAAAATAACTTCACTCTGGGCCAAAACTCTAACTTGAAAAATAGCTTTAAAATTCTGTTCCAAGAAAATGTTGTACTCCTGGCCCAAAAGTGGGGTTAAGTAATCACAAATGATTTCTGTAAATAGGTCCCCTGTGACCAGTCTAGACCAGTACTTCTAATCTGGCCTGCACATATTCTTATTGGAGTTATTTCAAACAACATCTCTGGGCATTCGTCTCCCTAACACAGAGTTCAAACACATTTTCCCCTCGATAGGCTTTTGGAACATTCCTCGTCTTGTTCTGTTCATTTGAACTTGCAGCAAGCCACCTTGCCAGACATGGCTGTCTGTAAGCTGACTTCTGAGACATTAAAGTGTTGTTGACACCTCTTAAAAGCTTTGAAAAAACATTCTGGTTAGAAACCTTTTATTTCTATGTTTTTTCCATATGAGCAGGAACACTGAGGTACTTCCTTTTGAATTATTTTATCAGTGTGACTCATAATGACCAAGTTTTTATTTCTCACATATGCCTCTTCATCTGGTCTAGACAATCTTTCCACTGATACGGGCACTTCTAAGTTATGGGAAAATGAGCTTGCAGTCGTTTTACTGGGTCATCTTAGTGAGACTGTCATGTGTTCCTATCCTCCAGCTTTCCTATTCTGATGTCTGCCCTTTCCAAGCAGCAACATTAGGTCTTCTAAAATTGAAATAAAATAGGTAACTTGAAAAAATTAATATTCATAGTGACACTATAAAGAGAAGACGCAAAATCAGAGAACTCTGACAATTTACACTTATTTGAAATAATATATGTGTGTGTGTAATGCATGTTTCCTATGTTCATTAATAAAAGAACTTAAAACATCTATTACTATGTTGCCTTGACCAGCCTTGACATGAGTGTTTGTGTCTAGTCTTATTGCATCTTATTATGCCATGTTCTATTGCTATCACTAGGAGGCCTGCTCTTTTGTTAATGGAAATGGAAGAGCAGCGGATGGGGGAGGGATTGGGAGTGGGGAACTTGGAGGAGTGAAGGGAGGGGAGGCTGTGATATTAGTATGCATTATGTGACAGGAGAATAAGCAACAACAATAATAATAATAAATCTAAGTAATGTCTACTGTGGAAAAATATTTTAACTTCTACCTTCTGATATCAAACACAAAAAGTTAATGTGTGTTATATATTTGCAGCTATCAAAAAAACTTAACAATGAAAAAATAAGATTCTATCTCAATGCACTATACAATGCAAGGAAACCTAAGTTATTTGCTTTTTATTTTTGGTTCCTAGATACAACTTAAAGACCTACAGCCAGGGCTGGAGAAATGGTTCAGTGGTTAAGAGCACTGGCTATTCTTCCAGATGACCTGGGTTCAATTCCCAGCATCCACATAACAGCTCACAACTGTCTATAACTCCTAATTCAGGGGGTCCAACACCCTCACACAGATATGCATGCAGGAAAAGCACTTATGTCAGAAGTGGGGGCCTCAGCAGAAGCAGATTTATGGTTGGAGCCTCCAGTACACATAAAAACAGACTCCTTTCAACACAGTGGTTCTCAACCTTCCTAATGCTTGTAAAGACTTCCTCATGTTGTAAAGACCCCCAACCATAAAGTTAATTTCATTGTTGCTTCATAACTTTAATTTTGCTACTGTTATAAATCACAATATAAATACCGGATATCTGATATGCAACCCCTGTGAAAGAGTCATTTGATCCCCAAAGGGATTTGTGGCCCACAGGTTGAGAATCACTGTTCTAAGACATTCAACTTATGTCAATGTCACAAAACTGTATTACACAATATAATTAATTTCACTGTGTGTGCTTCATCTAAGAAATTCAAATGTATTTATATATTTCATGAATGTTCATGTCTGTCCATCACAGGAGTTCATGGTCACAATAATGAGTACACTGTGTATCCTGAGGCAGCTAGAGGAATATAGTGGCTTTCTGATAAAGGGATTATTAAAATATAATTTCAATTCCATCACCCTCAATGCTCCACTACAAACTATTATTTTAATTTTACAAATGGAAAAATCTATGCCACTGAAGAAAATACAAACTCAAAAAAAAAAAGCACAGCAATAAGAACTTAACCAGCCCCTCAGGATAACCACTTTATGAGCATCATGAATTCCTGGAGATTTCTTGCAGTTTACCCTTGCCCTGGACAAGATTGCCTTGAATTTTAATTTGCTAACTAAACCAGCAGCTTGTGTCAGCTGCAGAAACATCGGTTATAATCCATTTGGCTAGCTGATTTTGAGGCTATGTTATCCTTGATGGCTGTCAATGTTTCTGTAAAAGCAAATAGTTCACGTGAGGTGAGGTTGTTGGCAGTACAACCTCAGCATGTTCTGAAAGGAAGATGATCATGGGTTCAGCAGGTCCACTAAGTCACAAAAACTTCGTGGCAAAGGTTCCCTTTCATCTCATCTCTGCTCATAAAATGACACATCCTGTAAAATGTTACCTTAATGGCAACATAGTCAGCGGGGATAATGGGCTGCTCCAGGGTAGGAAGACGCTGCTCATCAAGGCTCTCTCCAATCATCACCTTAGTAGCCACATCAATGAAGTCCACCCCAAGAGTCTTGGAAACAAAGGGGAAGGATCGGGATGCTCTCAGGTTGCACTCGATCACCTAAATAGAGAAGCCCAAAAGAGAAGAGATGATGAAAGCCATTAACAACAATCCTAATATTCATTCTGTCCCTTGGTTTAACTCGCTTCCCCAATCCTATCCCCTTTATCTCCACTGCTCAGATATTTTACTAACTGGTTTCTCTGAGGACATTATCTTTGAACTTTGGCTCTTTCTTTTCCATCCCTGCACATTTCTGATACATTGCATTTAATGCAGAGTTTGGATAATGTCACACCCCTAACTTAAAAGTCCCCACTGGAATCCTAATGGTTTCATATTAAAACCTGGCTTGTAAAACTTTCTATCATCTTCTCAATGTGTACTTCAATATCTATCTCTCTTATCTGACACCACTTTCCTGGCCAAAGTCCTACTTTCCATGATTCAGTTCTAGTCTTTACTTAGAAAAAAAACTTTCTCTAAGTATAAAGATTGGTAAAGTAATATCTCCCAAAATGTTCAAGCTATTCACTGTTGCAGATGATTTTATAGCTATGTGTAACACACTCTCTACTTTCACCCTACCAAAATCCCAGCTATCTGAAAATTTCATTCATAATATAAAATTTTTCATGAAGACTTTCATTATTTTCTCCATACAACACATGATATTCAAATATGTGTTCAGTACGTGCATATATGTGTATGTATGTATACATATGTGTATATGTCTGTGTGTGTATGTGTATGTGTGCATGCATGCATGCACACAAGTGTGTAACCTGACGAACATGATCTCCAACGGCATTTGCACACCCCTCCAGTAACTATTAAAACTATTAATACACTTCTAATTATCTCTGAATTCATTTGTCTCCCAGTCCTTGTTAAGTTTCAAAGTATCTGAAGTTGGAGAATATGCCCCATTCATCACTGTAATCACTATGTGAACAGATTTTGTTTACTAGCAGTTTGTACAAAATAAAATGACTAGAAATAATCTAATTGATCTAAATTATATTTTGTCTTTCAAGATAGGTTACAAAACAGCTTTGTTCTCTGTGTGAGGAGGAAGTCAAACTTCAACAAAACAAGTCACAAACAGGCACGCTGTTCATTGTATGATATGCACACATCAATCTGTACTTCATAGTGGATGGAATATGGTGAAATTTCAGAACATCAATTACTTCACAAAGCTGTGAGTGACACATCAGTGCCATCAAGAGCCCTTGTCTTCAAACAGGAGAGACATTACATGCTATGTAACATCCCTCTCAGACAAGAGCAGCAGCCGGGTCACAGAGTACCAGGGCAAGCCACATCCCAACATGACCCAACATAACCCTACAAGATGGCAAATTCCTCCAATGTCATTAACATTTCTTACCAAGACATCATTTCCTTTGACAAGGAACTGTACATTGAATGGTCCAGAGATGGCAAAAGCCTTTGCAATCTTTCGGGTTGCATCCTTCACCTAGAGCAAAAAGGACAATGACACTATGATAAAAAGCATAGTGGATGTTTAAAGAAAATCAGAATTCTACCTAGATAGCCCTAAGTGTTCTCTGTAGAAAATTGTATCTTCGTTAATAATGATAATTAATAGTAATAATGGATAATACTAAGCATCTAGAAATAGATAATTTACTATCTCTTACAATTATGTACTCGGTTCTTACACTGAAGGCTAAATGAAATCTTTCTCATCATTTCCTTCAACACCAGAAACTGCAATTCAAACAAAACATCAATCTAATGGCCTACCTACTGAGAAGGGCAGGCTCCCAAAATACATGGTCCTGCAAAGCAGTCAGGGATGTTTAATTTATGTTGCTTTTCTGTTACTCTGAACTCTACAAGAATAGATATTATGGTCAGAAAGAAACACTGCTTGCCTGTAGGGAGACCTTGTATATGTCACAGATTGGAACCCCTATACCTAGCAAGAAACAGGTTCCCATGTCAAGAGGGACAATGGTGACAGGAAGCAAGAACTCTCCACTCATCACAGGTACAGGAGTGGGACAGAAACTTAACTGAGTATGAATGGAAGCACAGTCTATGGCAGTGGTTCTCAACTCTGATACACTGCAATCCTTTAATACAGTTCCTCACGTTGTAGTGGCCTCCAACCATAAAATTATTTTCATTGCTACTTCATAGCTATAATTTTGCCACTGTTATGAATCATAATGTGAATATCTGTGTTTTCCAATGGCCTTGGGTGACTCCTGTAAAATGGTCATTTGACCTCCAAGGGGGTCACAACCTACAAATTGAGAACCTCTGGTCTATGGTATGTCTACTCTGAGATATTTAAGAAAATCTGTGGTTTGTGCTTATTTGCCCTAACGTGAAGAAATGAATCATATTTTAAACCTAGAGACTTTTAAAACTCCTACTCTGTTGTTATTTCAAAGCATTTTGTCACCTCTATATTCTAGAACAAAAATCTTCAGATGCACCCAAAGCAAATGTACAGGCCAGCAGAAATTCTTATGACAGGATAGCAGGAAAAGCTTTCTATAAAAGCCAAGTCAGATGCTGGAGAGATGGCTCAGAGGTAAAGAGCATTGACTGCTCTTCTGGAGATTCTGAGTTCAATTCCCAGAAACCACATGATGGCTCACAACCATCTATAATTTGAACTATCACACAACCTATCAGGCTCTAACCACAGTGAAAGAGATCATCTCTAAGACATCCAACTAGTTAAGAGCAAGGGTGTTTCTTGTTAAATTTAAGCTGGAATATGCCTTACATCATAACCTAGTGTTTAAAAAAATTCTAAGGGATTTTTCTATTGCTGTGTTGGTGGTTTTCATATTTTGCTTCCATTTGTAAATGATGACCTTTTCAATGGCTCCTTGGCTGATGGTTTGTGTAGGTAGCATCAGTGTGGCATCCCCTGAGTGGACACCTGCATCTTCAACATGTTCTGAGATGGCATGGGAGATGACCTGTCAAAGGAGAGTTTTTAACAGTTGTCAGACATCTATTTCCAGGTACTACTCCATCACCTACCCCCTTTGACATTTAACCAGATCTGGCATTATTAGTGAATTACTCTGCTAAACTCCCATTAATGGCAGGAGAAAGAGCTGCTCCACTGTCTAGGTATCAGTGTAAGGTGAGAAGCAGCCTCTACAGAGAACAGAGAGGGGAAAAGGTACTGTTTTTTTCTCTTCCACTGATTGCCAAAGCTATAAACAGAAGAAGACTAAGTCAACTAGTGACAGTGAGGATGGGACAGGAAACTACAGTAGAAACAGCTTTATCTTTTAGACACTCGAAAAGAATACAAGAGATGTGAATGTCTAGGGAGGTTAACCGCATCACACATCACACACTTGCAAATTTTGGTGGATTAGAGAGAAAGATTAAAGATTGAATGCAGAGTTCTTTAAAGTGAAGTTTGAGAGACCAGAAAATATTCTTGTCCTTCTCTATAATAAGGAAACAAATGGAATATAAAGATGAATGACCAAGTTTGTGTCACTAGTGAGATTGAGAGGAACTTGAAACCTTAGCAGTCAGACCCAGAAGTCTATATGTTAATAAGATGTGTTATTCGGGAACTTATAAAGCTTACTGTGAGGAGAATGATTCCATGACTGTATAAGACTCTTGTAAAGCACATAGATTTATTTATTCATCACATTTATATATGGCTTAAATAAGAGTGGCATTGAGTTTCCATTCTTCTGATGTCACTTTTGAGCTAGCTCTATGACACAGACAAGGCTGAGTGGCATTGGTTTATAATGAAAAGTAACTAACAATGGTGCTTATCTTCACAGAGGGCTTGTAAAACAAACAATGCATGTGAATGAGCTCAAATGTGTGTGTGTAAGTCTATATGTAGAGTATATGTGTGTTTATATATGTGAGTATGGTTGTGTGAATGCCTGGATGCACATGTTTTTTTGTGTTTTGTGTGTGTGTGTGTGTGTGAGAGAGAGAGAGAGAGAGAGAGAGAGAGAGAGAGAGAGAGAGAGAGAGAGAGAGAGAGAGAGAGAGAGAGCAGGGGGGCAGAGAAAGAGAGAGGATTATCTAGGAATCTAGGAAACAGGAGCTATCATACCACTGAACTGAGAGAATAATGATAAACCTGAGTGATATGTCCACTTCAGGGAATAAATTTTAAATTTGTGTAAGTAACCTGAAACATTTCCAAAAGACAGATTATGGGACAATGTGCAACAGATTGAAGGGGAACGCCTAGTACACATCCCAGAAACACAGAGCAAAACCAATGAGCCAGCATGGACTCCACTGGGAGCAAAGTAAGTGAACAAACACATCTGTCTCCAGGATAGTCCCCATCCTCCATCTCCATAGATGTACAATGACATCCCTCCTGCTTTCTATCTCTAGCTTCAAATAGTAAAGGTGGAAAAAAGGGAAGTTTACTCTATGATCTAAAACAGAAGATTAGGAATGAGAGTTCTAGGAAGGAAAAGAGTATCTCAAGATGGATAATGGGTGTTCCTCAAACAAAAAGAAGACTTTAACATATAACCTAACAGTTCTGAGGGTGTGGCTCAATGGCAAAACACTTGTCTATCATCCTCCAGGTCCTTGGATTCATCCCAGTACTGAAAAAACATGAAGGCAAAAACCATATGTAATTTTTTATCCTTTTTTTAGTGTGTTTTCAAGACAGGTTTATCTATGCAGCTCTGACTGACCTTGAACTCACAGAGATCCACCTGCCTCTACCTCCCTGAGCACCGTGATCAAAGGCATGTACCACCACTTGCCCCAGCTACCATATGTTATCTTAAAGAAATTTGTGCTCTTTGTCAACAATGAGTTAAAAGAACTAGATGAACACCCTCTGAAGATGTTTCAGCAAAAATTCCTGTCCTTAAAGACAGGAGACCAGAAATAGTATCTCTGAGCGCTTCACATCAGGATTACAAGATTCTATAGTTAATAGAAACCATCCTGAGTTTAAAATAAAATAAGAAAACTCTATTCTGAACTGCTAATCTGCTAGGGAAAAAATTGATATGTTTGGCAGTGTTTTGAATTATTTGCAAAACAAAAGATGAAGGCCAATTTTTTACTATATCCTTGAGGCAAATAAAATGACATGCCTCTCTGAAACATAAAGTACTACATTTCAAGGTAAATCACAAATGCTTTATTAAGACAACCAGAAAATTCAAGTGAAACACTCTTCCAGTTCCCTTTCTCCTTGAAGTCAGAGGTTTTTCAAGCCATTCCAGGTGTGATATGGTAAGCTAATTTTATGTTATTGTTCTGCCTACATACTTCTGTTTGGTTGCCTTTTTTACTCCAATGAAAAGGAGGGGAGAGAGTGGAAAATAAGAGAAGAAAAATCAGAGATTCAATTAGAAATCTTAGAAAGCAAAGTATTTGGGTGTTTTATAACACTCGTTGAAACATAAAAGGAATGCCACAGACAAAAGAAAATGAGAATGAAAGATCTATTCAAAAAGAGTGATGAGTGTGGGATGATAATTGATACTGAGCATCATCAAAGAGAAGTGCTAACAGTTTGAAATTCGAGGAATGAGATACCCATGACACTTCCACTCAATCTTCAGAGACTTCAAGAGTTGGGTTTTAGGGTTGGTTTTTGTAGTTGTTGTTTGTTATTAGGGACGTGGGGTGGTGGGGGTGGGGTGGTGTTTGTTGCAGTGATGGTAGTTTTGATTTAGCAGCCTCCCCACTATGTTCAGCCATGTGACTTTGGGAAACTGTGCATTCTAACCTGTCAATGGTTCAGGGTGGGAAGACAAAGACAGGAAAACAGAGAGGAAGTACATACCCTCCCTTCTTTGCCAACAGCATCCATCTCCACTTCCCGGGCCCCTTCAATGAATTTAGTCAGCACCACTGGGTGCTCCTGCCAGCAACAGCAAACAAACAAAACACAGAATTAAAACCATGAGCATGAATTCCATGTATAGTATCAGGTAGCTGTGTAGCTTGAGTAAATAACAAGGTAGTACTTGCAGAAAACTTAAGGCCAAACATAAAGCAGACGCTCATTAGTTAGTCTGTTTTGTCAGAATAAGGTCATGCTCTGCTTACAGTAGGGGCAAGTGTTTTTCTACAACACTGAGGACTCGGCAAACTGCAAATGAACCCTGAAATCCCAAATAATGGCTTCTGAGACAGTTTGAGAAAAGAGGAGTCTATGGATGAGACAAATGTGGCATCCTTCCCTTCTATCAGACTCATCAGTTTTATTCTGTACCCTGTAGATTATTATTGGTCCAAAGTCTTTCTGTCCTCACATGGGTTTGCAAAAGCTACAACTTTCTAGTCAAAATGTTAATTAAATGTGTAAGAAATGTGAATAAGCTTAAAGGACAGTCATGACCTTCAGTTTTACTTTGTTTTTGTTTGTTTGTTTGTTTTTTCAGTTTTGAAGATGAACTCCTTTTTTTGAAGTTGACAAGCCTAATCCTGTTTTTATAGTATGGTGATGGCAATTGGATATCAATCAAATCAAATATATTTCCTTATTATCCTTAACATGTGCTTCTTTTTGGCAATGTTCTGGACTGTCTTTCAGTCTTGAATTGCTTCCTGTGCTCAGTTGTCCTAAGACAATGTTGAGGTGCCCCTCCATACCCAGACTGGTACCGCTTCCTTCCCGCTAAATGAAAAGGATGACTGGTGATCTTGCCCATCTATGTGTCTCCTCCCCTATGCTCTGGGATTCGGCATCCCAGACCACTTGTAGTATTTGCCTGTCTTAATGCTTATCTTCCCTGTGTGGGTATCATCTTTTCTCAATGTAATCTTTCATATTTCATCTCACCTTCAAAGCCTTGGACAAGTTCTGCCTTCTTGAAGATTTCTCTAAGCCCTTCTGGTCACCATGCTAAACTCATCATCTTATGCTTGTGTTAACTTTAGCAAATCTCCTTGAACACTGTAAATAGAGTTTAAACTTTAAGGTACATTTTCACACTCCTTTCTCAAGGCTCCTCATCAACCTTATTTTCCATGAGGCCCTATCACTGATATCACTTTAAAGGATAAGCTATTAATTTCAAAGTCAATATTTATGTCTCTATGCCTACCTGCCCTCTTTATTTTACATTTTAATCATGTGTATAAATATGTGGGTCTGTGTGTGAGTATGGGCATATAACGGTCATGCCTGTGGATGCCAGTGATGATGGGTCCCTCTGGAGCTTCCCAACATGTAAGGGGTGTGTGTGTGTGCGTGAGCGTGTGTGTGTGTGTGTGTGTGTGTGTGTGTATGTGTGTGTGTGTATGTGTGTGTGCCTGAGTGAGTGTGTGTGTATGTTTGTGTGTGTGTGTGTGGTGTGTACATACATATATTTAATATTTAATCACTAAGCTGTCTCTCCAACCCCACTAACCCATCTCCTCATCCTCAGTTCTAAATATTCACCACTCTCTGCCTTCGCTTGGTCACCATTTGGATTCCTCTTGGGCTGCCCCATTCAAATGGTCTAACATGGAATACATTTCTTCAACTAAGCTGTCTCCTTCTCTAGCATTTCTCACTTCTGTTATGTCACTACCCTCTAGCCCTGTTGTCTGGGTCAGAAACCCTAGTCATTCTCATTACCTTTCATCCTTACCCTCTGCCCATTCACCAATTCCCTTCAATGAGTATCTTTGATATTTTTCTCCATGTTATTCGAGAACACTGCCATCTCCATCCTGAACTACCAGAGTAGTTCATTAACCCTTCTCCATGAATTCAGTGTTGCTCTGTAATTCACCCTTTCTATACTACAGCAGTACAGTCAGTGCTGTATTTTATGTCCTTTATATGTAATGAATGCTTTATCTGTTTCCAGAAACCCTATGGTCTTTCTCACCTTCAACTTTTTATATATGCTGCCTCTTTCTTTCTACTCACAGGACAGATTTTCACCCAGTTAACTCTAAATCAATCATTAGATATTAACTTCAAAATCCTGCTGCAAAGACTGAACATTAAAATTTTTACAGCCACCCACAGCATCCCAGATTTTCTTCGTTGCAATGCTTACATCTAATTATAACTATTTCATGCTTTGATAGTACAAGCAAAGAAAATCTGTGAGTGCAGATAGTGTGTGCATAGCATATGTGTGTGAGTGTATATCCACAAATATGGTGTGTCTGTTTATATGTGTATATATATATGCAAAACTATAGAAATGATTACATATGAATTATTAGATTATCTTTCCATGAGTATATCCTTTGATAGTGAGATGAAAACAGTATCTTTTAAATATTATATATTGAATGAGCAAACAAAGGAACAAAGTAATTTTACTCTAAATATATTTAATTGAATATCATGGGCTCTGTTATAGCATGATGGAGAGCCTTGAACAAGAATATATTCCACAAGGACATCCCTATTACAAAACTGTGGCCCTGTATGGGTTCATCTGACACATTGACAGAAAAATAAAATAAATTCTACTGAATGGAAGACCTCTGAGGCTGAAACGTGCCTGGAAAAGATAAAGAGAACCATACCCCATCCCTCAAATGCAGTGAGTTGTTTGTGGCCCCTCTGAAGAGAAACACAGCAGGATCTTTGGCAAAGACTAAAGTATAAAAGTTAGTTAACTGAACCATAACAGAGATGTCCTTCAGTAACAGACATCCATACAAATGTAAGCTGTAATCCCATTGATTTCCTTTCTTCAGACTTTACCTTTTTCTCACTCATTATCTTTCTCCACATTCTCCATGAGCAAGCATCCTTGATGACCAGCTATCACAGAGGAAAGGGGCCCAGGTTTCCGTGTTCAGAACAATCTGCACTCTTTTCCCACTTTGAAATGCCTCGGACTTCGTTCTTCAGCTCCCTTCAAACTCCACTCGCCTAACTTCAAACTCTTCTCTGAATTGTTCTTTTTTTTAAACCACAACTAGCCTTTGAAAGCTTTTTAAAGGAAAACATTACTTTCATCCACCACAGTGCGAGGTCTGCAAATCAATAACCCTGCTGGGTAAATCTTAAATGGAGCACACCAAGGTAACACCAACGGAGGAAGTAAAAGCTTGGGGCAGTTAAGAAAGGTGTCTAAGTCACTAGAAAATTATAAACATTTTTGTTAACTCACAGATGCAGTGTGTGAGAATGGAAAAAGAAATCAATAGGTGAACAAGGGGACTTACTAATAAAGTTGCATGTTTGATTAAGGCCAATCCCCAGGTGTGAGAATTAAAAGCTAAGAAAGCTTTCACTAGATAATGACAAACATGTCTGGATAGTCCTGGAGACTCACGAAGAGGACAAGATACTTATTAATCATCGCTCCCAGAGTCTCCAAACAAATTAATTCGGATGATCAAAATTGCATAGGTCTTCTTCTTATCCACTAAGCCTAAGAACTGAGTCATCACCTAAGACCTTCTTTTTCCTTTTTAGCTTTTCATTCTTTCCTGTAACAAGCTAGTACACAGAAAGGAGGAGATCAGAAAGTGGCTGTAAAATCTTCGTGTGAAAACAAAATCTGAATAGAAAACTAGATACCAATTAGTCAGAGTCAGTGAGAGGAAATGGGACACTACCTGAGACACTCGAGTTGCCTCCTCAAGGAATCTTTTCATCTCATCCTCAGAGAATACCACGTTCATGGCAGACCCACTGGGAAGGGTGGAGGGAAAAGCAGGTGAGTTTCTTTACCAGTTCAGAAGTAAGGAATATCACATTTTATTAAACAATTCCAAGCAATGTCTAGTTCCAATATGGTAGAAGGCAGAAAAGTATCTTCTTTTCTAAACTGAGTTTTTATTTCATATAATCACAAGGGCAATAAATCAAAGACAAAAGTCAAAGAATTTAGATATGCCCCCCAAAAGAGCTGCTCCCAGCATTTGAAATGTCTCGTAATTACACTGTCTGATTCACAGCATCAATACTTTGCTGGTTCCAGGTAGATCTTAATGGTTAACATGATTCAGTCAAGAACATAATTTTTCTTGCCCTGTTCCTTCAGTGTTTGTTATCAACAGCTAACCTTAACCTATTGGCACTCTGCAAGGCAGGTCAATTTTTAGCCGCTATAACAATAGGAGTGACTCTTCATTACCATTTGAAAATATCATATGCAACCTCTGGCTGAAATGCATTCAACTGTGTGTTTCCTTCTAAATACCTAGGAAATAATGCTATCTTAAATAGAGTTACTCTGAATTTTGACACTTTCAAAATGAGATGGGAAAGTAGGAAAGGAGGAGCATTGGAGTAAGGGAGAAAAATTACTTCCCTCTTCTATTAATAAGTAATATTTTGTTCATCTTTTCTAATTATGATAAAGTTCTGCATGAAGCAATTGCTTTATTGGCTTGTGAGGGGATGGCTGAAGCAATGAAACAGAAGAAAAGTAGAAGGCAGATACAACGTGCAATGCTCAACTTTCTTCCAACCCTCTTTAAACACGTGCCCATTGTTTAAATTGAATTACATTAATTCTTCAAAGTAGTTTTATTAGACTGGTTTACACAAAATGTCATTTCAATAAAAGGGCTCATTTCCTCTTCTCTTGAAATTTTTCATTATTTTTAAGGATCCCATCTCAAATTCCATTCACACTTCCAAATTGTGTACAGCAAATTGTGTTTCTCTTATTATCCCCCCTCTCAGAGAAATTATTCCTTACATGTGGTAACATCTGAAGAGACTAAGTGATAATTCACAACTTCCCCTTTGATGATAGGACTTAGTTCCAACGTTTAATATAAAAGATCCTCTCTGCCCATGTTCCTTGCCATCATAATTCATCTATTACAAAAAGCTGATCTCAAACACTCAGAAACTTCAAAACAAAGACACGATCCAAAGGTGCCAATGAAAATTGGTGATGCCAATAGATGCCCTGGTTTGTATTTTAGTATTTTCTAAGTAAAACTATCCCTCTTTAGTTTGGCAAGGAAATGCTGTTAGCCGTGCTGCTTCTAGACGAGGATGGCAGTGTCACTGTTAACAACCCCAGAAGAAAAATTAAGCTGAAGAAACTGAGCATTTGTCTCACACTTTCTGTGTTGCTTGAGAGATTGTGGCTGGACTAATGACTCACTACACACCAAGGCCTAGTGTTCTTTGCATGCAGCATGCATTTCTGTATCTCCCAGATTTCAAATCATTGTTCTGGAAAACAATATATTACCTCAAAACATAGGAAGGTCTCAGTAAGCAGGGATAGCCCACAGAGTTTGCAAATTCCAGTGCTTCATTCTAATTAATAGGGAAAAAACAACATGAAGGGTATGAATAGTTTAAAATATGCAATAAAAATGCAGGCTTGTATCATTAGATCAAGGGGTAACCTAACTCTTTATTCCTCCTCTCAAAAGACTCCATTAAAATGTAAATTGGACACCGAGATACATAAAATTCCTAGTTTCTCATTCCAAATATCAAATCTAGTTCAAAAATAGTTTGAACTTCTTTTCATTGTCTGAATCTTAATGAGAATGCCACTGTCTGTTTATAACCAGTATTTAAGTGCAATCATGGAAACACAGCTACTTAACAGTAAGTTCACTAAGCGTGGCATGCATTCTGCCTGCCCTCTAGTTAACTTCACTAGTAGTTAACATTTGGGTTAGGACTCTGAAAAAGCAAACACTAAAATGAGGCACTTGTTCCTCTCCTTACCAATGTGTTAACAGCTTTCCAAGGAGCCTGGGCCACCTTTAGCTCATCCAAGACAGCTGAGAAGATGGAGCGGTCCTCAGCCCTGTCAATCTGCAGAGGGCTTGTGCCCATGATCTTGACACCATTCTTGTATAGGGGAACAGCCAAGTTGTTTGGAATCTGGCCTCCGACTGATATGATGCAGCCATTACATGCCTAGAAGAGACAATCCACAGTGTCAGTCACTGGAATAACATGAACAGGAATGCACAGCAATGCTATAAAATTGACAGCATTTCCTCACTGAAATATTTATCACAATGGTGAGATTTTCATCTCGCTTACCGAGGCACAAGAATATTAGATTTTAATGCAATGGATAAGTAGAACTTCTTTTGACTTTGCAGGTAATTACAGCCTAAAATCCATGCAAAATCTCCACAGTACCACATATGAATATCACTTGAGAAATTTACATAGACATTTTTTTAAAAAATAGTGAACTGTGTCATGTGCTTGTGACTATAATCCATAGAAAACTAATAATCCATGAATTCCTGGGACACTTATGCCATTCCCTGAACAAATACCTATTTTCCAATTTTTTCCTTTACTCAGAGTTCTTTCAAAATGTCCAGTACCTAGAGAATAAAGTGCCTATCCCCAACCATTTAATACTTTCCCGTCATATCCATCATTGGTCCTCTCAACCCAGTGAAACTACTCTATTCATTATCTACAAGAATGCATGCCACCATTAACAAATTCTTTATATGACCCAAACCTCTTAGACTGTTGTTCTTATCCTTTTATGCCCTCAGGTATTTAGCCTCTAACCAACTCTATGTTCAAGTCCATTTACTTCTCACTTCCACTCTGATATCCTAAATACCGTCCTTTCTTCGCCTGATACCTTGGCATCTCTTCCTGTATTCAACAAAGCATTTTAATTCCTGCCTACCAGCTTTATAAGCAATTGCGCGCACACACACACACACACACGCTTATATCTGTATATACATATATATAAACACATATACAGAGATAGAGATAGATAGATAGATAGACAGACAGATAGATAATTCTTAAGGTTTGTTGAACCCATGAGAAAGAGCTTTGTGTGATAGGTAACAGGGAACTAGACTTTCAGGTAGTAGTTAATTTCTTTATCATTTCATCCTGTGTACTGATCACTCACCATGAAGTTCAATCATTTTGTCTATAATACTGTACAGGAGCATCACCATGATTCTCATAGTTGATACATGCATTAAACCCTCAAAACCCTACATTCATTCTAAGTTTATAAATAAAGACATTAATATCAAAAATATGACAGCCAATAGACATTGTGCTTAGCATAATTAAGTAATGAATATTGATGGCCCTATTGAAGTAATAGATACATGCCAAATTATTTTATCATGATTTGAAATTGCTTTTGAATTACTCCTATAAGGAATGAAGCTAATATCGCTCTGGTGACAACAAAGTACAGTACTGCCTAAACAAACACATTGCAACTGAATTCTTAGAGACATTGTAAATGGCATTGAAAATAATAAAAGTGTTCACATCTTTCTTTACCATCTTTTAAAAATTCATTCAACATATGTCTTTGCAAAGCCTTTAAGAACAATTATTCTCTTTATTGCCCTAATCTGTGCTTCTTATTATTTTGGGTTGATTGGCGGTACTGTTAAGATATTGAGGCTTATGCTGTGTTGATTCCCATGGTTGGCCTGCCCCTTTCTGAATGGAGATAGAAGAGGAATGAATGGTGTTGGTATAGGGAGATGGAGGGAGGGGAAACTGCGGTGAGTACATAAAATAAACAGAAAATTTAAAAAGAAATACTAAACTAGAATAAAAAAGATATTGAGGCTTATAAATAAGTTTCCCACTAAGCATATACAAACACTTGCATGTGAAAAACTTCAAAGAAATTAAAAATAGGATCCATGTTGACTAAAGTAGAGCTTGAAGTTGAACAAAATTATATGAATAAATATATCAATATTTTATTAAACTCATTTCTCTTTTTCCAAGAAATTGACAACTTTTAAACCAAGAATAAGATAGACTCTACTATTCTTTACTTAAACCTTTACCGTGTAACTGAAAGGTGTATTTGTTCTTTATAGTATCCCTGTGGGGTGGTTGTTACTAACACTGTTGTGTAGCTACAGAAACTGAGGCTCACTGAAGACCAGCTCTCTCTCTCTCTCTCTCTCTCTCTCTCTCTCTCTCTCTCTCTCTCTCTCTCTCTCTCTCTCTCTCTCTCTCTCTCTCTCTCTCCCTACCTCCTTTCCTCCCTCCCCCTTCCCTCTCTCTTGTTTTTCAAGACATGGTTTCTCTGAGTCTCACTGGCTATCATGTAGACCAGAGTGGCCTGATACTCAGAGATCTGCCTCCCGCTGCCTCCTGAGGGCTGGATTAAAGGCGTGTGCCACAACTGCCAGGCATCCAAGTGTATCATATAGCTAACTCAGAGCTGACATATGGATTCATCTCTGTAGACTATGAAGGAGCTACACTTATGTAATATACCAAATATCTAAGAGCTAGACCAACTCCACTAGTTGTTTTCAGACATGGCTAATATTAGAGGATAAGAGAACTATTTGAAAAACATTCTTTTGGAAGATGGCAGACAAAGCAAAATCTTTCATTATCAAACCAAATTCTCATCATTCATCACTGGGAAATTGAGTCATGTCCACAGGAGAGCAGAGTGAAAAAGTGGGTCCTATGCAGGGCTTGTCTGTGCAGCAAGAGGAATTCAATGTGAGAGCATATTTGCTGAACAAGGCTGATATAGAGCCATTTCACAGAAGGCCCTAATCTAAGACCAATGGTTTCTCACCCAGTGGGTCACAACCCCTTTGGGAGTTGAATGATCCTTTTACAGAGGTTGCATATCAGGTATCCTGCATATCATATATTTACATAACAATTCATAACAGTTGCAAAATTAAAGTTCTGAAGTAGCAACAAAAATCATTGTATGATTGGGGTCTCTGTAGCATGAGGAATTGTATTAAAAAATAGCAGCATTAGGAAAGGTGACAGCCACTGTATTAGCTCTTTCCTGACTCTACAAGATTTGTAAATGTATACTTAGAGCAGAATCCTAGCATTCCACGCAGATCACCCATCATCTATTTCCTGGTCATTTACTCCTAAATACTGGGATATAGTACTCTAAAGTTAGGGTATTTGTAAATTATTTAGTGCCAAAACAAATCCACAGATTCTCCAAGTTCCACTGCACTGAAGACTGAAATGAGAGCATGAAGCATGCGGGACAAACACATAATACTTATCTATATCTCTAATCCCTCAACTTTACTTTCAGCTTCATTTCCAACTTGACACAATGATGTCCCTAAGTTTAGACAACATGAGGACGTTTCTAAGCATTATCCAAACTACACTCACACCATAAATTTATTTTAAAACCCTAACAAATTAAAAGAAAATGCTTCAAATTTATTCAAGAACATTTAAATTTATTCTAACCATTAATCATTCTAGTCAGTGCTGATTAAATGTTGTAATTCAGGCATTATGCAACACTAGAAAATGTCTTTATATGTTTCCCAGTCTGGTCTTAACCGCATGGACTCAAATTGTCATTACTATTTCATTTCTCTAAGTATTTGAGAACACAGGTGCATCCTAACATGCCTGGCACAGACACACACACACACACACACACACACACACACACAAACACACACACACATACACAATGTTATTAAATAAAAAATATACAACAAATTTAGCAAAAAGTCTTAAATATGGTTGAGATATAACAAAACTTAATGTTTCCTTTATACTTTTCAAATGGAAATCTACTGCAAAATAAAGAGATGTATGAATTTAAGCCCAGACCTCTATGACTCTTTTTCCTTGTTAGGGTTTCAAATAATCATCTGATCCATACAAATAGACATACTAATAATAAGCATGATGGGTGTTATTAATTCTATCAATGCAGCAATTTCAAGTTATTTACTTGAAAATGCTTTAAGAACAATTTCCCCTTATAGGGAATAGTCTAAGCAAAGTTGAACACTAGGAAAGATGCCATCTAGTGAAGTTGTGTCAGTGGTGCACACTGGCATCTTCTTTCCTTGACCCTTGGCACTCACACTGTTGTTAGCAAGCAAACAAGTACACTATCAAAAGTCAGACCTCTCCTCCAACAGAACCTTGACACATGAACAGAAGAAATGAATGACTGATAGATACTCGTGGTCACTCTGTAGAATGAGTGTTCCTTTCCTGAAAAAAGTGTGATAAACCCATAAGTGATGTCCACAGTCAAAAGACTATACTAAGAGAGTAGTTTCTAGGGGAAAAAGATATTAAAGAATAGTGGGAAATGGATGTCAGAACTTCCCTCAAAATCTGTAAGAAAAACAGCCTCAGTGGTAATCTGCTTTACTCACTGGACAGGTCACTTCTTAATGCTTTATTCTAGTTCAGTTACGGTCCAAAACCAGACTAAGAGGCTCATCATATTTGCTACTACCCCCAGGTAACCACGCACTCATGAGAGAATCCTTTCTCTTAGAAATGACTTAAATGTTTATTTCTGAAGATTGTTAGGCATGTTTTCAATTTCTTTAAAAAAATATGCTGTGGGATATGCTAAGGCATTCAGTATCTCAAGGTAGGGTAAGGGCAGTCTACAGTAGAGACTCGCCCATTATCAGGTGAGATCAAGCAGCATTGTGGAGCCTGCGCTAAGGAAGGACAACAATATCAAGATAAGAAACACACATATGTACATCTTTATGTATGCTACATGACACGCCCTTTAGGATAACCTAAAGAACACATCTGTGGAATGTTGTTCATCAACCTTAAATCACTAGCCCATAAAAAATAACACTTAATAACATTGGCAAGATGACAGGTCAATGGACTGTAAGAGAAAGCCTTCCGAACCAGATTCATCTGGAAGAGACTCACTGATCTCAAACTGAAGAGCAATGATAATGATTTCATCTGATTGGGTAAGGGACGAACTGGTCATTGGCAAATAGCTGACCTGTCCCCTCTGAAAACTGTTCATCATTAAACCACATCATTTATTGTATGTAGAGATGACATCTTAAATCATTTCCAAAAATGTTTATGGAGACCCCTCTATGCTAGTTAATATGTGAGTGGTATGTGTTACCAAATGAAGTTTTCACTATGGTTGGAATACACACACACTAAAATGATAATTCTATGCCAAGACTTCAAAAATAAAAAAACAGAGCAATTGTTTTTTACAGAGTCTCACTATAAAATTAGGCAATGGAAGAAACTGGTGGTATTTCCTAAGAAAAACTGCACTATGAATCTACACACATGAAGGTAATAATATATAAGATCTCTCTCTCTCTCTCTCTCTCTCTCATTTTTTCCTCCTCTTTTTTTACCTCCTGGTGGTAGATGTCTAGGATTCTCTCCAAAGACAGCTCTTCAAAGTACAGTTTGTCACACTCATCAAAGTCAGTGCTCACGGTCTCAGGGTTGCAATTCACCACCACAGTCTTCTTGCCAAGCTGGCGCAGAGTGCGGATGCTAGAGACAGCACACCAATCAAATTCCACACTGCTGCCTGCAGAGACAAGGATATTTTGGAAAGGAGTGAGAGGGCAAGAAATATTTCTCTAGCTAGTCCAAGCTAAAGAAGCCAATGTCTTCCAGTTAAACTTTTAAAACAAAACTTCAGACCTGTTTACATACAGTGTTAATAATAATAGAAGAGGGGACTATTTAGACAATAGTGAAATGTTGGTTTGATTTATACTTAAGTTTACTAATAGTATCTCTGCATTTGAAGAAATCAGAGCCTTGAGGTCAATGGGAAATATTATTAACTGTTAAAAAATAACCTTCATTTACTGAATGAAAACACTGGCCTCAGTGTGCTAAACAGCAAAGCCAGTAATTAGAACACTTGAGATCTTGCTTTAGTCTTTTCCACTTAATTGCTCTTAGAGGGATAACCCAGAAGTCCCTGGGGTGACTTTCAGCTTTGACATATCTTCATTGATTGAAGAGTCCTGTCCTTTCTAAGAGTGGGTGACCTTCTACAAACTAATCTGAAGCATAATAAAAGCCTAAGTGACTCAAAATATCACTCTTCTGGGATGCCATAGGAACCAAAGCACACATGCTAAGTCTGAATTTGGCCATTATCTTCTATAAAGTGTTATCAAAGTGCATTTATCCACATGTAGCCACGTGCTCCTTCTCAGTGTCAAGAAAGTATGTGCTTGGTCATCAGCTTGGCTATTCTTCCCCAAAGGTTGAAAAGTTTCAAAGAGAAGAGCTTAGGTGCTCATGAAAGCTTTTAGACTCTACAGTCATAAGTCAAGCACTGTGGTATAAATGGGTGACGTTTACATAGATGTGTTGGAAACAAGATCCCTAACACAATAGTATTTGGAGGTGGAGCCTTTGAAAATGTAGAGCCCTTATGATTAGATTCATGCTTTAGGGTCATCCTTGAGAGGGAGTTATGTCCTTCTTTGTTCACAAGACAGAAAATTATGGTGTATTATAATGATACAAAAGGAGACAGAATTTATAGTTGAGATTTGTGCTTGAATCCCACTTTTCTGCAATTAAATCACTTCATAGGTTATTTCTTTCTTATTTCTCTGGACCTCAGTTTCCTAACTTCTAGAACATTTTTATAATAACATTTGTTTGGTCAACTCTCAGAATAATGGAATCAATATTTATAAAGGGCACTATAAAAACTATAAAGCCCTATATAAACATGTTATCACATTACCAATGTGATATGGACCACAGCCCAGCACCATCATTCCATGTTCATCAAATTTGATGTCATGCTCCTGAGAGGAAAAACAGAAAATATAGAGATTATATTGTTATTATTCCATCTAATTAAAGTGCTTGCCCCTTCTCTAAATATGTCTTTCCCAAATGCACCTCTACTCGTCTTGGGAAATCCCTAAGTCTAAAGTGTTATAAAATCTCCTAGAAGCTCTACTTATTTTTAAGTTTAATCTGCTCAATATTTGCAACTTATTCATGAGAATGCAGCACGGTCACATCTTCTCTTGCTTGCTTGATTTCACTGTTAAGACAAGAATGCATACAGAAACTCCTCATGGCAGCTGTCCCATATGGTGCCACTTCTATTACCAAGGTCAGCAGATAATCAGAGAGGAAAATGTGCATTACCTAATGAGGGCTACCCCCTAAACCCAGATCTCTCTACATGTGTTACTTGTGTAGTTCCTACCTGGCCATTGTAGGTAACATAGAGATAGTTTGTAACTGATGGGTATTCTGCGGCCAACGTATCAATCTGCAAGAGAAAATTCATTACTTGATGAGGATTTACTCTTTCTATCAAAATCTTTAAAGACTCAGATTTTTGTACTGCTTTCATATTTCCTCAATGTCTATTACTGTCAAATGTAAAGGCAGGAAAAGCTATATATAATCAAATCGCTTACTGATTCTGAAAACAAAGGAGACAAAAGAAATAACAATACTATTTAGTGGTCACTTGAGCAGTACATAACTGGATATCTCCCAGTGCATCTCAGACCTGTGCAGTAACACCACCCACATAAAATGTTTTTAGGTCACCAGGACCGCTCACTCAACTCACCTGACCTAAAGCAGTTGTGTATGAAATCTAAGTCAGACCAAATGACTTGTATGGGAAGATGTTTTCACTTTGCAAACTAAAGCATAGGATTTAAGTTAGTGATAGCACTAATGGGTGACACAAATACCATAAAGCCACAACAGGCAATGGGAAATCTGGATCTTATTGGGCACAATTGGAAAAAGTAAAATCAATTCTACTCTCAGGGGCCACTAGCTCTGCTTAGTGAGCAAGAATTTGGGGCTGACAGGGCAAGTTGGGGCAAAGCTGGTAAGAAAGAAGAAAGGTAATAATTGCTGAGCAGGAACTATTTAGAATCCAGCTTGTGACCCAAGGTTTACAAGTGCGCCTTAAGCCCACAGAGAAAAGTCAATGATTTTAAAGGACAAAGAGCAGCTGGTGGTACTTTAAGCCAAGATACTCCTTCCATTAATGGAATTTAAAAGAAGCCAACCAAATGGCATACCTATGAATGTTCATGTGTGATTGTCATGAATACTAGATGAGATCATTATGCCTAGCCCCATCACAATGAATACTGAATGAACCGTAATGATGGGGCACTTAAAATAAAGTATTGCCCTTTAAAAAGTTAGTGCCCAAAAAGATAATGATTTTTTTCCAGAGGTTCAGCTGATCCATATATTATCACACTAAGAATTTCTGTCACTACATATATGTTTGGGCATAGGTCAAAAGCAAAGATAATTTTGCTCCTTTTATTTAAAGCGTATAAGTCATATTTTCTTCACACCTCACTGCCCCTTCATCCTTTTCACTTTATACATGAGTCAGACTATGCTAAGTAAACCTAACAACCTCATGAGCATCAAACAATTGGAGTCCTTTCTAAGCACTCTTTGTTAATGATTTTGAAGTGATACCTACATTTCCAAACAGAAATCCTTGATAAAGAAGGATATTGTATTACCTGTTTAACCCAGGGGTGGATGTTTTTCTTTAATCTCAGCTCCCTTGTCTGGGCTTCAGTCAGTCCTAAACATTTGGAAATCTGCTTGTCTGAGAACCCAATTTCCTTGGCCTTTCTCAAGGTTTCTTCTGTAATAGACTCACTGGGATTTAATGGAAAAGAAAGATTCAAATATACCAAACACACAAGCACAGTATGAACCAGTGAACTGTTTCATTTCAAATAGACGAGAAAAAAATCCTCCTATATTCTGTCTCCGAGCAATTCATGTCTCTTTGTCTTCCAAAAATACATAAATATATAATCCACAATTCTTTCAGCCCTTGTGAGGCCTCGAACATTTAGCAATGCTAACATCTCTGTAAACTCCAACTTTCACAAATGCCCCCTCCCCCTCCCCACCCCCAATCCCTTTAAAATCTTATATTTCCTGTTCTAATGAATTTTCTTGTTCAGGGATAACTAGGGACTTCTTAGAAAGTCAGAAGTGCTTTCTCAGTGTCCCACTTTGTCACTTTACTCTTCTGTCACACAATTCTTCACAATGAGACAAAGTTTACCTTCTGCTAAGTAGCATCTTACCGTGTTTTGTTTTTTTATGTATGAGTGCTTTACATGTATTCCTTCATGCCAGAAGAGGGCATCATATCTTATTATTGATGGCTGTGAGCCACCTCATGCTTGCTGGGAATTGAACTCGACACCTCTGGAAGAGCAGCCAGTGCTCCTAACCCCGAGCCATTTCTCCAGCCCCTCTTGCCCTTTTTCTTTTTCTTTTTTTTTTTAATTCACTGCAACTAGTGTAACTTTTGTTATGGCTCTGCCCTCTGACACCTACTCCAGTCAGACCACATCCTTTCTCTCTATACATTTAGACACCATCGTGGGATCCATTAGCCCAGCTACGTGATTATTAAATCTGTGGCTTCTTTTTCAGTAACTGACTTTTACTCTAGGTCTTTCTTGTGTGTGAAATAGGAATCTTCTTGAACTGGGTGTTCCAACATTACACAAGACTGAACATTCTCTCTATAAACCGATCATTCATCAGATTATTCCCAAAACCTAGCACATTATCTGGTTCACAGACAGTACTTAACAAATATTTATCAAACAAATGAAGTTATGTTTGTGTAATTTTCTGTGTAATAGAAAAGACACAGGTGTGATTAAAGCCACCTTTAAACTAAATTTCAAAACCAATAGAAAAAAATAGTTGGTAAAGAGCTAAGTTGCATAAAAATAAAAATGCCACTGGAGATCATCTATTGCCCAATACCTGAGGGCTGCTTCCAGCAATATCTGATAAAATAAAATTAAATTACAATGGTTTGCCTGTCAATACAATGAAACTGAAACAAAGAGCTGTGGTAACAGAAGCTCTACCTCATGCTAAATGAAGCATTATTGCAAAAGCCCTAATAGGATATAGTTGAGGAGGAGGACAAGTTATCTTCTTCTGTAGGATAGACACTGGTAAATTTCCAAGTTCTACTAGATGGCCCCAGTTCAAATTTATGCAAGCAACCATAACTAAACCCATTAAGAAAAAATATATGTAGGGAGATGGCTCAGAGTCTAAGAGCATTAAGAACACTTGCTGCTTTTTCAGAGGCCCTGGGTTCAGTTCCAGGACACATATGGAGGCACACAACAGTGTGTAACTCCAGCCACACTGTCTTCTGACCCTGCAGGCACCAGGCAGGCACATGCAAGGACACAAATCTATACATGCAGGCAAAACACTCATACATACACATAGAGTAGGTCAACTACAGTGGGAGGGGAGAAGAGAGGGCCATGGAGGGGGTAAAAGTCATCAAAATATACTATATACATGTTTGAAATTATCAAAGAATAAAAATTTAAATATGTTTTAAAAGTAAATTATTTCAAGTGGCAAGCAAGTAATATAAACACAAAATTTAAATATTATTTAACACCCTTTGCAATATAAAACAATGTTATTAGTAGATAATTGTAGTACATACTACAAATGCAGTGTCTTAGGATAGGGATACTGTGAGCAGTTTGTGTATGTCCTGTCTGTACTGTGCATTTTAACATGAAACATATGCTCTATGTTCCCAGGACATATGTGAGCTGTTGAGGCTATTACCCATACCTCCTAACTGTGTGTTGTTTTCAGTGTCCAGACAGTGTTCTACAGAAAATAGGTACTTGTCAGTATAGATTTCATCCTCTCCCACAGGTGAGTGAGTTAAGCCCAAAGGAGAACCATGTCTAGATACTCTGTATTGTGTGAGTTTGCTTCCTTATATCTTTCAGACCACCTTCTAAACTGACTAGAGAATATCTACAAGCAGAAATTAGTTATAACTTTATTAGAAATAAAATTATGTTCTTTCAAATAAAAAGAATATACTGAATTAAATCATTTGCATTTACATGTTTTAATCTTTGACCTTTTTCAAATAATTTATATTTTAAGTTTTAAAAAGAGACAGCCGTATGTGTGTGTGTGTGTGTATGTGTGTGTGTGTGTGTGTGTGAGTATGCATGCATGTGTACATGTGAGTTCTTTTCTGGGTTTTATTATCAGTTTTAGTGTAGATTATTTTAGCTTTGACTTTCTCAAGTCAATTTGGTTTCCTGTTAGACCTAAAGCCCTTCTGTCTCTAATCAGTGAATTCTTGCCAATGCCTTGAATTTGTTGTTTAATCGTTATTTGGAGTTTTAACATATATATTGTCATAGCAATGCATTTTCTGAGAAAATTATTGAATTACTGATTTCCTATTAATACCCAATGAGATATGCCCATCCCTTTGCTCTATGCTCAAGAACTGTGCTGTCCAAGATGCAAGCCACTAGCCAACTTTCTATTATATATAAATGTTTTTTCATAAACTTAAAATTTACATCTGTAGTCATTCTAGGCACATTTCAATATGTTTAATAGCCTCACGAAACAATTAGCCACTCTTATCATGCAATTCAATGTACTGAATATTCTCCCTAGAAATTTCTGCTGGAAAGTGATGCCCAAAGATATCTGAAGCAAAGGAATCAGACAGATTCAAAGTAACTCATGGAAGGATATGCTTCTGGTACATTGTGAAGTCAAAGGAGAGATAGCGTGCATGCCTGTGAGAAGTCCTATAGCAGCAGAGGACTGAGAAGATAAATGTAAAGAAAGCTTAGCTCTGTGTAGGTGAAAATGATGACAGATGCTATATAAGCAAGGGCAACTGTATGTGAAATAACCTACAACAGCCAAGTTCATGTCAGATAGGGAAATACTGGGAATCTTAGCTGGAAAATGCTTAGGAGCCTGAATGGGGACAACAAAGCAAGTTCTTTGTTCTGTCATCAGTACTTTCATACTTGTGAGCCTGGACATGTTTCAGGAATGAATGACAGGAGATAAAACCCAAAATTTTTACATTTCAAGAGGCCATAGTGTGCTAGAGATGGACGAGCAGCCATTGGTATGCCTGTACTACATAGACGCTATTCTGAAAGGCACCCCCCCACATATTATATTAGTCGAGAATTTTGAAACAAGTACATCAAAATAGAACTGCACAGTGCATATTTTAGGTTCACAATCTGATTCTTAGAATAATTTCATAGTAAGAAAATGAGCTATTTTAACATTGACTATTCAGTAACTGTTTCAACAACAGACATGATGGTTTGACATGTCTTGAAAATTAGAGCTCATTAAGACAGACTGACATATTATTACATCTGTGTTCATACCTTAAATGAATGCAAATACTAGGTAAGTGTGTTCGTGTGATGTCCAAGAAGGATTTTTATAGGATTTCACTATAGCCTCAGTGCTATTAATTTCTGCTTTTAGACACGAACCATCATAAAGCAATTTTCAGTCCTCTTCTCTGAGAAATAAAGGATAATTATGACCCACGATAGTAATTAAAAAGACAGACAAGTTTAGGTTTGATGTCTTCCCAGGTTGGAACTACCTGTTTGCATATAACCCAGCCCCCAAGACAGAGAGCAAGAGAGCCATCTCCCACTGCCCTCTCTTCTGTGTAAAACAAAGCTGCCTGGCATGTATTTGCACTAAGAAGTAAAGTGACTATTTCACATGTTCTGACATAAAATTTTACTCTATCCCCCACTACAATAAAGTAATAGAGGAGACAGTGAATCATATAAAGTTAAACTTCCTCAATATCATATTCAGGAAGAAAGAACCTACATTATTGTTACTCAAACTGTGGGTCATAACACCTTTGGGGTCAAACAACTTTCACAGGAGTCACCTAAGACCATTGGAAAACACATACCAGTAGCAAATTTACAGTTATGAAATAGCAATGAAAATAATTCTATGATTGGAGGGTCACCACAACATGAGGAATATTGGAAGGCAGAGAACCTTGTTTAAATGGACATGGGCCTGGTGTAATAGCATCAGATATACCTCCTCCCTTTATCCCCACACCTACATTCTGTCTGCTAAACAGAACTTCCATCGCCATCACAAGAAGTTGGTCTTTCCATTTTTTTTCAAACTAGTTGGAATTATATTTTAGGGAAAGGGAACATAACAAGTTTATTTTTGCAATGGAAAATGAAAATCTTTATTTGGAACACACACAAAGCCCAATAATTGCTAAGAGAAATATAAATGCTGAATTCATATTCAAAGCTGTTTTGAAACCTCAATAGGGAATGGTCCATTTACATTATATTATAAATCAAGGAAGCATTATACCAAGCTAGGAGAGTGATCAGCTGAAGGGAACACACTGCACTGAAGCACACAGGATCTTAAATGTGTGCAGTAAACCATCCTTCTCTTATTTGATATGTATGTGTGGGCTGGCACCTGGTTTATTTTCACTTTTTTAAAACATATACATTAAATCTGTATCACAGAGCTACCTCTTCTAAAATATGCAATTTTGATTTGTCCAATCAGCTTTTCTTTTCATAGTTGAAGAGTAAACTCTACAAAAATTGGAGTTTCGTAATATCCTAGTACAATCTAGACAATAAAATAAAGACACACCTCGTGGCAGGGACATGGCCCACTCAAAATCTCTTGCTCCTGTCTACTCAGAAGCATAAAACAAAGAAAGAGTGAAATTTTAGGAAATAAAACATCTAAAGCCAAGACAATGGGAGTTTTACACACTCTGCTAT